TGAGACTGTATGCCATGATCTTAGTTTTTTGAATGTTGAGTTTTAAGCCAACTTTTTCACTTTCCTCTTTCACTTTCATCAAGAGGCTCTTCAGTTCCTCTTCACTTTCTGCCATAAGTGAAAGCCAAAGTGAAGTCACTCATTCGTGTCTGACTCTTTGCCGCTGCATGGACTATACCCTACCAGTCTCCTTCCATGGGATTTTCCGGGCATAAATACTAGAGTGGGCTGCCACTTCCTTCTCCAGGGGATCTTCCCAACTCTGCCATAAGGGTGGTGTCATCTGCATATCTGAGGTTATTGATATTTCTCCTGGCAATGTTGATTCCAGCTTGTGTTTCATCCAGTCCAGTTTTTCGCATGATGCACTCTGCATATAAGTTAAATAGGCAGAGTGACAGCATGCAGCCTTGACACACTCCTTTCCCCATTTGGAACCAGCCCTTTGTTCCGTGTCCAGTTCTATCTGCTGCTTCTTGACCTGCCTGCAGGCTTCTCAGGAGGCAGGGCAGGTGGTCTGGTGTTCCCATCTCTTGAAGACTTTTCCACGATTTATTGTGATCCACACAGTCAAAGGCTTCAGCATAGTCAATGAAGCAGATTTTTTTTTGGAATTCCCTTGCTTTTTTCTATGATCCAGCAGATGTTGGCAATTTGATCTTGGGTTCCTCTGCCTTTTCTAAGTCCAGTGTACATTTGGAAGTTCTCGGTTCATGTACTGTTGAAGCCTATCTTGAAGGATTTTTAACATTACCTTGCTAGCATGTGAAATGAGCACAACTGTATGGTAATTTGAACATTCTGTAGCATTGCCTTTCTTTGAGATTGGGATGACAACTGACTTTTTCCATTTCTGTAGCCACTGTTGAGTTTTCCAATTTTGCTGGCATATTGAGTGTATGTGTTCAGTTTGTTAATATTTTGTTGAGGATATTTATTTCTGAGTTCATCAGAGATGTTGACTTGCAGCATGTGTGTGTGTGTGTGTGTGTGTGTGTGTGTGTGTGTATGTGTGAATTGTCCTTGCCTGGTTCTGATATCAGAGTAATTTTAACCTTGAAAAATGGTTTAAGAAGCATTCCCTCCTCTTCAGTTTTAAGGAAGAATTTGAGAATAGTTATTAAATCTTTGAGTGTTTTGTTCATTTATCTGTGAAGCCATGTGGTCCTAAACTTTTGTTTTGAGGGAGGTTTTTGAATACTGTTGCAATTTCCTTACTAGTAATCAGTCTCTTTGGATTTTCTAATTCTTCATGATTCAGACTTGGAAGGCTTATAATTAGAATAATTTATATAGTTCTTCTAAGTTTTACAAGGTGTTGGTGTGTAAGTATCCGTAGCATCCTCTTAGAATTCTTTCTTGTTTCTGTGACAGCTGTAGTTATCTCTCATCTTGCATTCTGTGCTCTGTTTTTGTCTTACTCTTTGCGACCCCACAAACTGTAGCCCACCTGGCTCCTCTGTCTGGGGGATTTTCCAGGTAAAAATACTGAAGTGGGTTGCCATTTCCTAATTTTACTTATTTGAGCTTTCTCTCTCTGTTTCTTAGTGAGTCTAGGTAAAGGTTTGTCATTTCAAAGAAACAGCTCTTAATGTCATTGACCTTTTCTATTGTCATCTTAGTCTCTATTTCATTTCTGTTCTGATCTTTATTATTTCCTTTTTTTTCTAACTTTTGTTTTTGTTTTTCTTTCTCTAGTTGCTTTACGTGCAAGTTTACATTATTCTTGTTTCTTGAAGTGGGCTAGTATTATTGATATAAACTTGCCTCTGAGTATGTCTTTTGCTGCATCCCATAGATTTTGGTATGTCATACCTTAATTTTCATTTGTCTTCAGGTATTTTAAAAAACTGTTCCTTTGATTTCTTCTTTGACTCAATAGTTGTTTAGTAGCATGTTGTTTAGTCTCCATGTATTTGTAATATTTCCAACTTTCTTCTTATAATTTATTTCTAGTTTTATACCATTGTTATTAGAAAAGATGTTTGATTTATTTCAATTTTCTTATATTTATTTAGAATTGTTTTGTGTTTCAATATATGGTCTATTCTTTAGAATGTTCCATGAGTATGTGAGAATAATGTGTATTCTCCTGCATTTGGATGGAATATTCTGAATAAATCTATTAACTACACCTCGTCTAATGTTTCATCTAAGGTCACTGTTTTCTTGTTGACTTTCTGTCAGGGTGCTCTATCCTTTAATGCAAGTAGGGTGGTAAAGTCCCTGCTATTAGCACTGAGTTGCTGACAATCTCACCCCTTAGCTGCGTTAATAATTGCTTTGCATATTTCAGTGTTTCTATGTTACATGCCTATATGTTAGTAACTGCTATGTCTTCTTGATGGATTTTCTGCTTTATCATTATATAATGTGAATTTTTGTCTTTACTTGCCTTTTTTGGCTTGAAGTCTATTTTATCTGATATGATTATGGTGACACTCACTCTGTATTAGCTGACATTCTTAGAATATTATCTTCTATCTCTTATTTTGAGTTTATGGTTGTCTTTAGAGTTGATATGAATCTCCTGGAAGCAGCATATGGTTGTCCTGTTTTTTAATATATCCAACCACTCTGTGTCTTTTGATTGGTGAATTCAATCCACTTACATTTAGGGTGACTATTGATAAATAAGGACTTAGTACTGCCATTTTAAATTTGGTTTTCTGGTTGTTCTATATCTTCATTGTTTATTCTTTCATTTCTGTCCACCATTTTAAGTTATTGGTCTTCTATGATGCTTTTCATTTTCCACTTTTTAAAACATTTTGTATGTTTGCTCTAGGTTTATGTTTGTGTTTACATGAAGTTTGTATAAAATGTCTCAAAGATAAGATAACCTTTTTCTTCAGATAGCATCTTATCTTTATTTCCAATGTGAGTTCTGTTCTCTTCCTCTTCCCTTTCTCTGTTTCTGTTGCCTACAATTATTCCTTTCTATGTTGCAATTTCATTACCACATTGATGTAGCTATAGTGATTTATACTGCTTTTCCCCCTTAACCTTTATGCTACAGTGAAGTGTGTTACAACATAGTCTAATTTTGAGTTGCAGTTTTTTATTCTGTCCATCACCTTGGTCAAAGTTCTATATATTTTTGCCTTTTGTTTCAGGTAAAAGAGCTCCTTTCAATATTTCTTGTAAGGCAGGTTTGGTGGTGATGAACTCTCTCAGTTCTGTCTGTGAAAGCCTTTATTTCTTCTTCATAACTGAATGATAACCTTACTTTATAGAGTATTCTGAATTGCCAGTTTTTATCTTTCAGTATTTTGAGTATGTCATTCCACTCCCCTCTGGCCTGTAGAGTTTCTGCTGAGAAACCTGTTGATGGCCTAATGGAGATTCCTTTATAGGTTACCATCCTTTTTTTCCCTATCTGCCCTGAAAAATTCTTTGTTGTAATTTTTGACACTTTTAATATAATGTGCCTTGAAGAAGGTCTTTTTTACATTGAGGTAATTAAGTATTCTCTTAACTTCATGGACTTGTATATCTGATTTCTTTCAAGATTTGGGAAGTTCTCCACTCTTGTTTCTTTAAAGAAACTCTCTGCTCCGTACTCCCTCTCTTCTCCTTGTGGGAATCCCATTATCTTAATGTTGCCTTTCTTAATGGGATTGGATTATTCTCACAGAATTTCTTCATTTTTGAAGTATCTTAGTTCTTTGTTCTCCACCTGTATACGTCTAGATTTCTGTCTTCCAGCTAGCTAATTCCTTCTCCCCTGTGATCTGCTTTGTTTTCATTGTTTTCTAATGTGTTCATCTCATTTGGTTTTCTTCAGTTCCATTATTATTATTATTATTATTATTATTTTGGTTCTTTTTAGGTGTTTCAGTCTCTCTGACAAAGTATTTCTGCTAGTTTTGTTCCTGAGCTCACTGCCCTGCCTCCCTGAGTTTTCTTGTAGCAGATTGTGTTTCTTTGTAACAGCCATTTTGAATTCTCTGTCAGTTAGATTGCCTTCTTCTGTGACTTTTAAGTTTAATTTCTGGAGAATTTTCATTTTCTTTTTATGAAACCATATTACTATGTTTTTTCATGGTGTTTCACAAGTTGTTCCTCTGCCAGTACATTGAGGTAGTGGAAATCTTTCTTTTTTGTGTAAAGTTTTTATTTTTACTTGATTCTAACAATTCAGCAAAACACTGGCTCTCTCTATATGTAGACATGGAGGTGGTGGTTTAGTCACTAAGTCGTCTGACTCTTGCGACCGCATGAACTGTAGACCCCAAACTCCTCTGTCCATGGGATTCTCCAGGCCAGAATACTGGAGTGGATGACATTTCCTTCTCCAGGGGATCTTCCCGACCCAGGGATTGAACCCGGGTTTCCGGCATTGCAGGCAGATGATTTACCAACTGAGCTATGATGGATGGATGGATGGATGGATGGATGGATGGATGGATGGATGGATGGATGGATAGATACATACATACATACATACATACATACATACATACATAGATAAATAGATTAGATAGATAGATAGATAGATAGATCGATAGATAGATAGATAGATAGATAGATTACCAACTGAGCTATGAGGGATAGATAGAGAGACAGACAGATAGATAAGATAGATAGATAGATAGATGGATGGATGGATAGATAGATTAGATAGATAGATAGATTACCAACTGAGCTATGAGGGATAGATAGACAGACAGACAGATAAGATAGATAGATAGATAAGATAGATTACCAACTGAGCTATGAGGGATAGATAAGATAGATAAAGATAGATAGATAAGATAGATAGATAAAGATAGATAAGATAGATGATAGATAGATTAGATAGATAGATAGATTACCAACTGAGCTATGAGGGATAGATAGACAGACAGATAGATAAGATAGATAGATAGATATATTACCAACTGAGCTATGAGGGATAGATAGATAGATAAAGATAGATAAGATAGATGATATATAGATAGATAGTTGGAGATTCCAAAAATTCTAACAAACACCCACTCGACGGACATGAGTCGTAGCTAAGCCCCCGGAGCTGCTGACAGACCGGGAGGCCTGGGTGCTGCAGTCCCTGGGGTCGCAGAGAGTCGGCCTCGCCTGCGCGGCTGAACGGCAGGTTAGTCGCTACCGGCCTTTTGTCTTCCGACAGGTGGCGCGGCAGTACTGGCTTTGGGTCCCTGCGCGCGGCCTCCGCTCCCTGGGAGACCCCGCGCGCCCCCGCGGCCTCCGCCCGGCGCGGGCACTCGTTCGCGTCCGCTCCGCTCGGGGGGCTTTGCTGCCGGGGCCCCGGAGGCAGACGCCCGTGGCCCGGCGGACACGAGCGCTGGCGGCAGGCGGGCGCTCCGCGGGTGTCCAGGGGCGCCTGGCCGTGCCCGGTGGAGCCCCCGGCAGGGTGCAGGGCCGGGCCCGGAGCTCCGTGCGCGGCCCCGATGCCGCGGGTCCTCCCGCCCGGGGAGCTCACCGGGCGCCCGCCTGCTCTGCGCGCCCGGGAAATCCTGGGGCGCCGGGGCGCAGGCCGGGGCGCTCGAGTTATGGTGTTTCCCGCTGGTGGATGGAAGGGGGCCGACAGTGGGAGCATCTCATGCAGCCGTGGTGCTGACACCACTCCCGTCTTGAATTTTAGAACCAAAGGGCACTTCACAACTCGGTATAAAATAAATGATTAGTATTTTTATAGTTTACGTTAAATGACCCTTATCATTATAGTCAAGGTGCTATAGTAAATTAAATGGAAATTTTAAAAATTGTTTAACCTTTCTCCTTTATACAATTAGCTTTATCAATGTAAAGGATCATAATGATTTTCATCTGCGTTAACATTTGAGACGTTTCATTTGGATCTGTTCGTATTGTGCTCGATTTCTGCCAAGATAATATCTGATATTATAACCCGATTCTTAGTATGGCATCTGAATTGATCAAAAAATTATTTTTAGCACCTTAATTTGTATTTATTCATTATTGTTGTTTTCTTATGAACTCAATGTAGAAAATATCCTCCTCACTAGTTACCTAGGCAGCAGGATAAGAACAAGTCAGAACAGTCATTCAAAATTAGACTTCCTGCATTTTAAAAGTGTAAACTGTGTTTTAAAACTGGCAGAGGGCTGTGTCACGGTGTAGTCTTGTTTCTGCTGTGCAGCAGCGAGCCAGCCCTAAGTGTGTGTGGGATGGACTTTCCAGGTGGTGCTGCTGCTCAGGAACCCCCCTGCCAACACAGGAGACATCTAGCTGTGGGGTGTGATCTCAAGGTCAGGAAGATTAGCTGGAGAAGGGCTTGGCAACCCACTCAGCATCCTTGCCCGCAGAATCCCATGGACAGAGGAGCCTGGTGGGCTACGGTCCATGGGTCACAAAGAATTGGATAACTGAATCAACTTCACCACTTTCCCTCCCAGCCCTCTAGGTCATCAGAGCGCCAGGCTGAGCTCGCTGGGTTGTGGGGCAGCTTCCTGCTAGCTAGTTGCTTTAAACATGGCAGTGGAAATGTCAGTGCTACTCCCTCAAGTCCTCCCACCCTTTTCTTCCCCGACTGTGTCCACAAGTCTGTTCTCTCTGTCTGCATCTCTATTCCTGCCTTGCAAATAGTTCATAAGTACCATTTTTCTAGAACCTTCATTCTTTTTCAATTACGTTTTTGTTTTCCCATTTTGAATTGGGCTGGGTGAGTATTTAATTCACATATTTAGAAAAAGGACTTCTAGTCAGGCATATCTAACAAATTTAAAAAGTCTGGTCAATTTTCCTTTATGAAACACAGTATTATCTTGATAACTGATTGATTAACATATATCACATTTATGCAGGTAGCATGGTTATTAATAAGTTTTGCTCCATTACAACTGCTTTAGATTCAGTATATGAACCTATCTATTTGGACTTCCCTGGTGTCCCAGTGGTTTAGAATCCTCCTTTCTATGCAGGGATGCGGAGTCAATCCCTAATTGGGGAACTATGACCCCACATGCCACGGAGCAACTACTGACCCCATATGCCAGAACTATAGAATCTGCATTGCAACGGAATATCCTCATGAGCAACTAAGACCCAGTGCTGCAAAATTAAAAAAAAAAAAAAGGAGCCTATTTATGTGTTATAGTCGGGGCTTCCCTGGTAGCTCAGTTGATAAAGAATTTACCTGCAGTGCAGGAAACCTGGGTTCAATCCCTGGGTCAGGAAGATTCCCCTGGAGAAGGAAATGGCAGCCCACTCCAGTATTATTGCCTGGAAAACCTGGGACAAAGGAGCCTTGCTATAATTAACAATGTGTTTGTTTCCCGTTGTGTATCAGTTAACTATAGCCACAATAACTTTGGGTAACAAGCCACCCCAAATGCATTGGCTTAAAACAAAGCATTTATTTTTCCTTGCACATTTACTTTTAGCATTTACTTTCACATACGTTCGCTGTAGGTCAGTTAATCTAGACTAAGCTCAGCTGGGCTTGACTCCAAATCACAGGTTGAGTCCAAGTCAGACTGATGTATCTCTTACCAGCTCTGTATCAGTGGACTGTCCAAGAATGTTCTTTTCATGGTGTCTTAGTCTGTTCATGATGCTTAAAAAAAAAACACTGACTGCATGGCTTATAAACAGTTAAAATGTGCTGCTTACAGTTCTGGAGATTGGACATTTGACAGCAGGGTGCCAGGCTGGCCAGGTGAGGGCTCTCTTCAAGGTTGCAGACTTCTCACTGCATCCCCTTAGGACAGAAGACTCTAGGGATTTCTCTCAGGCCTCTTTTACAAGGCATTAATCTCATCCATGAGAGTTCCACCCTCATAACTTTGGCACTTCCCGAAAGCCCCACCAGGTAATGCCATCACCTTTGAGGGTTAGGAATTTAACATACAGATTTTAGAGGGATACAAACATTCAGACTATAGCACATGGCAACGTCAAAAGCATGGTTAGGCAAGTCCCACTACATGATCATATCAAGTCTTTGTTTTTATCATATATATATATATATATATATATATATATATATATATATATATAAACAACCTCAGATATACAGATGATACCACTCCAGTGGCAGAAAGTGAAGAGGAACTAAAGAGCCACTTAATGGGGGTAACAGAAAAGTGAAAAAGCTGGCTTGAAGCTTAACATGAAAAAATCTAAGACCATGGCATCCAGTTCCATCACTTCATGGCAAATAACAGGGAAAAAAATAGAAGCAGTGACATTTCATTTTCTTGAGCTCCAAAACCACTGGGGACAGTGATTGTAGCCATGAAATTCAAATATGCTTGCTCCTTTGGAGCAAAGCTATGACAAACCTACAGAGTGTATTAAAAAGCAGAGACATCACTTTGCTGACAAAAATCTGTATAGTCAAAGCTATAGTTTTTCCAGTAGTCATGTATGCATGTGAGAATTCGACCATAAAGAAGTCTGAGTGCCAAAGAATTGATGCTTTTGAATTGTGTTGGAGAAGACCCTTGACAGCCCCTTGGACAGCAAAGAGATCACACCAGTCACTTCTAAAGGAAATCAACCCTGAATATTCATTGGAAGGACTGAGGCTGAAGCTGAAGATCCAGTGTTTTTTACACCTGATATAAAGAGCTGATTCACTGGAAAAGACCCTGATGTCTGGGAAAGATTGAAGGCAGAAGGAGTAGGGGGTAGCAGAGGATGAAAAAGATAGCATTACTGACTCAACAGATATGCATTTGAGCAAACTCCAGGAGACAGTACAGAACTGACATGCTACAGTCCATGGGATCACAGTCAGACACGACTTAGAAGCTAAACAACAATGGCATACGATTAATCTTAGCAAGTCACATAGCCAAGCCCAACTTCACAGGGGTGGAAAGTATGCCCACAGTATGAAGGAAAAGGGAGGAAGTATTTGGTGAACATAATTTAGCTTATCATAATTTGGAGTTTCATTTTAAAATTTATAATCTAAAATTTATAATCTAAAATTCATGTGTAGGCAGAGTCTGTCTTAAAACTTGTCCTTGGAAGAAATTTTTAGAAGAAATTCAGATGTAAGGGAAACTCAAGCCCTGTGCCCAGAGGGAATATTGCAGTGAGGCTCCATTTCACCTAAAATGTGTATTTATTTCAATGTAAAACAATAAGCTCAGGTGCAATTTGAGCATCCAAAGAGAAAGATGCCAGCAATCAAACGCTTAAATGAATAGCATATGCACAAATTGGTGACATTCAACATTATCCTTCTGCATATTTGTGTGCTCTTTGGAACCAAGGTAATATATACTCCTGACAGAAAATTCACTTTCTGTCAAGCTACTCAATTTTACCTCAAAGACTCCCTCTTCTTTAATGTCCTTCATATGCGTTCACGTCTCCTAGTTCTGTGATTCATTTGGACAAACTATCTTAAATAATGTACTGTCGATTTCTTGGTTGGATGTATAGAAGAAAGGACGAAATGAAAGGAGATGTGTCTGGGGTGAAGGGTTTCCATTTTCTCACCAGGTTAAGTGGCAGTGGGGCTTGTTGAGCACATTAGAAGAGCCACAGGTGGAAAACATGCTCTTGTCTAGATGGGGGGAAGCAGGTGTTTACTTCGGATGTTCCGCTGGAGTATTTTGAATATCAAGGAAGTGGAAAATTGGAATTGCTCACAGAATGCTGTCTTTTCCCAGCAAATTTGATGTGACAGATTGCCCTAAAACCCTCCCATTAGTTAATGAGTGCACTGTAAAGTCTGTTGTTTAAGAAATGCAAGTATAAAAATGATGCCCCCTTTCTGGTAGTGTAATAGCCAAGTGGATTACTTAATGTATTTTATTCTCCTCTTCCCATCTCATACACATACTGTATTAAAATTTCATTACCTAAGTGGGAGAATGAGCCCACCTTTAGCACAATGAGAATTTTAGATTATAAATGTCAGTGTTTATTGTGAGGCATAATGCATGTAACACTTCTGCACGGCTGTTCAATGTATCATGAGATAGGTTTTGTAAGTCATAGTTTTCTCACTTCCTTACTGTGATCCAAAGTAAATGTTACATACAAAGAAAAAAATGAGTCATATCTTATGCTGGGGTATGTTCCTTGAAAACATATTTTGTTTTAACTTTGTCAGTACATATGTATGCATCAAATGTACAACTTAAAAGATGAGTTTTTAAAAAGGAAGGTGAACTCTCTAAATCAGAATTCTGGGTTGACTAATAGAGAGAAAATCCTTTCCCATGAATTTTCTAGGACTTGGACTTATTATTTTTAGATTGCATCTGATGCTCTGTTTCAGGGTCTGAATACTTTTGGTGACTCATTTTAAGAAACAGAATCTATATTTGGATGGTTTGACAATAGCACTTCAACTTTAGTGTATTATAGAAATAAGCCAGTTCAACCCTAGCTCTTATCTTTTAAGAGTTTAAAAATACTTTAAGAATTTGTTTTAAATTTGCATGATGTTTTAATCACTTCCATACACAGTTTCCAAAACGAAAGACCTGGTACTTTGGAGAAACTTAATAGTTATTTGAGTTGATGTGAAATCCTGTTTGATGCTTTGAGTTCTGGATTTTAGTTCCACTGGTACACTGGTACAAGCAGTAATAACATCAACTACCCATGTGTTTAACTATCCAGAACTTTCTG